TCATCTCTACACATCGTTTAAACTTTGTGCATCCTTTAATGACGTAAGCATCAAGGTGTCCTCTCTGATTGGAGTAGGATTCTGTGAGTCTAGACCCGAGTTGAAAATTGTGTTCCAATTCCCGACCATGATCAGATTTTCCACATCGGGAACCCACGATGGTAGGGAAGCAAAAAACCTCGTTCTCTTTTTGTACTCCACTGGGGCATATATTGACATGATCGCCCAATCTTCATTTTCTACCGCCAATTTAACTTATACTACTGTACCTCTAGGATCTATAAAAGGATCAATCACTTCAGCATCTAAATCCTTATTAATTAAAATGTTTACTCCCCCTCGAGTCTCTTGCGATGGGGCACAAAATTGGGGCCCCTTCCACCATTTCTTAGCATGCTCAATCTTGTCTAAATCCAATTTTGTTTCCTGTAAACATGCAATGTGCACATTGTGGTTATGCAGCCAAGTCGCCACACTTTCTTTTTTGTATCTGTTTGAAGTATCCCCTAGACCTCTGACATTCCAAGTTAGGACTCTAAGAGTCTTGGGAAAGACCATCAGACTTCAGACTGGTCATTGCTGCCTAAAACTTGGATGCGGGTTGCGGGTTCCCTCTCTTCTCTTTCTTCTGCAGACTTGTTACCTTGGGAGCCGGAGGCTGTCGCCCACTCATGGAGAACCGGGTCACGGGGTGTCAGCTGTTGCTGAACATCTGTCTTGTGCAGTCAATCTGCCACTGGTACGACATTCCACTTTTTCCCTATTATGATATCTTTTAATATTTTTGTGTCTGATGTCAGAAAATGTGTCATTGGATTCCAGTGTACTTGCAGTTGTTGCCACTACTCCTTTCTTTCATCCAGGGAGATCAAACTGAGAAACGCAAAGTGTAGAATTGTCTTACCCTCTCCTGGATTATAAAGCATATATCTAATCATTTTCGGTTTCTGTAGTAATACCACTGTACGCATATCCTTAAGCACCACCGACTGGGCCATGCTTACCATAGTACCCTCTGTAGGTTGCGACTGTACTGGGACCAGTGGGATCTCCAATACCTCGTCGCTCTCTTTTGCTATGAGTAAGCACATTCCCAACTAGGTGGTTGTGCAAATCAAAGGGACTAAGCAATGCCTGACCACCACATTGGCCTTGTCCTTCCTTGACAGGGTCTTCATCGGGGCGGCAAAACTCAGTTCCTCCTTTGCCCCACTTGCACCTAAGCCTCTTTCGACTGACAGACCCATTTGACCGTGTTTCCGCTCTTTGTTCTTCGAGCTCACCGTTAGATTCGAAGTGCTTTCTAAAGTAGCTAGAACCATCTTTCAACCTGCTTCTCTTCGCAAGGTCTGGAACTGAGGGGGATGGGCTTCTTCTCTTCCCATGGAAACCCGTATCAAGTCCCTTCTTATTATTTTTCTTATTTTTCCTTAGGATCTTGACACCCGATTTTTTCGCTGGTTTTTTTGCTTTAAACCGCAGTCCCTCTTTCCCTTCCTCCTCTCCCTCCGACCCATCCTCTTTCCGCATTTTCTCGTCCCCCTAATGTTCCAAACTAACACCTCCTGTTTCAGAGGTATGTCTGTGTTCTCCGGGGGGAGGGGGGTTCTGACCTCCCAAACCAAGGCCCGCGGGCTCTTTGAAGTTAAACCACCGGTCCCCCCGCCAACCGAAATCCCTCGGCCCGGTGAGCTAGGGCCGGGTTGTACGGAGGGGCGGCGACCATCGTTCGTCACAGGCGGATTCAATCTCGCCATTCGCAAGCGCCAACTTTGCCGATGTTTTGTGCTCAGAAAAATTCATCAAAAGGTATGCAAATTTTAGGGTCCATAGATTAAATCGTGATCTTTCAAGGAAAAATATTATAATAAATAAATAAAATTATTTTGACCGTCAAATATTTGTCGCGCCGATTTTGTGCGTTTTTGCAAATTCTATTTTTTCAGGTCCAGCCGGATTTTCACTTTGTACTGCCGGTACCCCTGAAATTTATGACGTCAGGGGGACTACCGGTACCCCTGAGGTTTCTGACGTCAGGGTGACCGGTGGTTTAAAACCCAGAGCCTTCGAATCCAACTTTTCCACTAGTTTCAAGAGTTCTGGGTTCTTCTCACTAAAATCTTCGACAAGCTCTTTTGCCCCCTGAGCGGATCCTTTGCCAACTGCTTTTTTTTCCATCTGCAGATTCATACCTTTTTTCTCCTCATCTCCCGTTTGTCCCTTTTCGACCTCTTTGCTTCCCTCCTCTTCCTTCCGGACCTCCCTCGTCTTTTCCTCTTCGTCATGCCCGTTCTTTTTGACTTTTCCTTCTTCCCCATTCTCCTTCTCTTCATCCTTCGCACCCTTCATCTCTTGGTCCTCCATCCCTTCAGGAAATTTCTCGTTTTTCTTGACGTCTCGCTGCCGAGTCGCATCTCTGTTTTTTTAGGATTTTTCCCTCCACTTTTTTTTTTGTCTCTTTCCATCTCCTGCATACTTTGTCTTTGAACCAGACCCCGATGCTGACTTTTGTGTCGGCTGTCTCTTCTCCTTCTCCACTTTTCCCCTCCCATTCCCTTTAGCTTTATCGGTCTTTTTCTCCTCTCCCTCCTTCCGGGAATTTTCATTCTCTCTCTTTTGTGGGTCCTGCGAACCAGCCTTCGTTGCCCTGTTTTTCTCATTACCCTTGCCCCCCTCCTTTTCCTTATCCCCTTTGTTCTCTTTCCCTTTCCCTTTGCTTACCTCTCGTCCCCTTTTCCCTCTTTCATATCCTAGTTACCTTTCCCATCCTTTACCGCATTTTTATAGTTATCCCTTCGAGGGAAGTCAACATCCATGTATGTGTGGAAGAACCTTCTGCTTAGACTACACCATAGTGAGTCCGAGCAGGCGACCTCCAATTCAATGTAGTCATCCTCTCCTAAATCAATCACTAACTGCTTTTTTTATTTCAAACGGGCCAGCGGCGACATGCCAAATTTAATCGTCCATAGGTCCTGTGAGATTGGGTCTGCGAAGGCCGGGGTCACCCGAAGGATGTTCCCGGACGCTTCCTTCACCGCGCCCTTAATGTGGGGCAGATAATTGATTCTCTGTCATCCATGGACCAAAGGAGATCATATATTTTCGTTTATCCAATTCGATAACATCTCTTCCCTTTTGTAGCATCCATTGTGCTATCCCCTTCGCACTCGCTACGTAGGTTATCAGATTCTTGCCCTCATCGACCCAGTCTTAGCCGAACCTTCTTCATATATCCTTACTAGCTTATTCTTGACTTTGACTGGGACTAATGTCGCATGATCCCCAAAATGGACTGACACTGCATGCTGACGGAGCCAATCAGATTGAACTTGATAAACATTCTTGTTGGCGACTACTTTTACGAAGTCTGGCCCCGACTCCACTATCTCTGGTGCAAACTCATCGGGAAGGATTCCCTTCAAATAACATTCCTCTAACACTTCCTTGACTCTTTGCGCCACCTGCGAGGACAAAGGGAACTGGTTCCCTGACTCCGAGGTAGCCATCGTTAAATCCCCCTTCCAATTTTGGCCAAAATAAGCAAAATCCACTTTCAATTGAATCTGAAGATATACTAATAAAAGTAGAGATAGTGAAAAATAAAATTAATCCTACGCCTAGAATTGACCTCCGAGACCGTTGCATCCTTTCACTGCATCCCGGGTGGTTGCAAAGATATTACCAGAGCAAATAGCACAGCTCGTTCTCTAGTTACTTCTCTTGGAAACTGTAGGTTGCTGCCGTTGTCTCCTCCGATTCTCTGCTTCCGGCGACCTGCACCCTCGTCGCACGTCCCCGACCGCCTATGGAGTTGCTCCTAGGCCTCCCGCCACGAAAGGAGAGGAGGTGGTAGTTCCGACCCACCAAGCCTCTCTTCCCTAACGCAGGCGACCCTCCACTGAAAAAGCTCCCCATAGGGAGGTCCCCGATTTTTCGAGGTTCGCTCCTTTGTCTTCCATAGCAGGCTGAAAACCCCATAGGATATCCGCCTGAAAGCTGCCTTCACCTAACCCTAATTAGCATTGAGCGCCAAGCGCCGCCGCTTCGGCGCTTAGCACCGGATTAGCGCAGCATGAGCGCCCGAAGGCGAAAGCCTGCTTGCAGTTTGTAGCACCATGGGCTTTGGGTGAGAAGTTTTCAGGGAGGACCGCGGGGGCGGTTTGTTTGTTGTTTGCGCTTCTGCAGCACTCGTGCGTTTCCAAGCTTCCTTGGCCGAACCCTTGAGGGACTATTGATTTTCAAGAGTTGTTGGGCCCTTCTCCTGACGCCATTCAAAAGTTACAAAACTGTACCACTGTCTTTTTGCATCCTTTGGGCCTGATCCCACTACTACGCTACAGCCCAGTTACACTGTAGTTTGCGGATCCCACCACTTTCCGACTTCGTCGCAGCCACCGAAATATTTTGCCATACTTCCGTTTGTATGTGTCGTGGCAGCACCTCCGCGAATGGTGCAAGCGTAGTTGCTACAAATTTTGTGTAGGCCGTGAGGGCATCTCTGCAGCCAAAAAGAGGGCGCAATTTTTTTTTTTTTTTTTTTTTTTTGTCTTTCGTCCGTTTGCAGCATTTCTACTGGCTGCCCTCTGCAACAGCCCACAAAGAACTGCCGTGGGTTCAGGAAAAGCACCGAAGAAGTCGCCCTGGTGGGATCCAATTTTCCTTTTTCGTCCCGCCACGGCCGCAGCCATCTTTGTAGTGCTTTTTGGCGACTACAGTCGTAGTGTAGTGGTGGGATCAGACCCTTTGTCCAGCACTGTCGCCGTTTTTTTTTTGGAATACCGTCGCCGTTTCAAGAGTGCTATGTGGCGATGGGCCGAAAACTCTGGAAAAAATGCAACTCTTGAAATCGTCTGACAGCTCTTGAAACATTTCCCTGTTTCAAGAGTGCGGTGGGGAGGCCCCAAGTGGGCGATGAGACGCTGCTGGACTTTCCTTGCTGGATCTGGCAGTCTATACGATTCGGTCATGTCTGATGTAAGGGTTCGCCAGCACGGCACGTGCAGCGGCCAACCTCGCCATCTACTTCGATGCCGCGCCAGCATGGCAAGCTGGCAGGGGTTTGAAAGCCGCTTTCCACTTCAGAACTGGAGGTGGTGGTCGGATAGGCGCGGCGCCTAGCCATGAACGATAGCGATGACTTGGCGCCAAGTGGCGCGGCACTGCCTGACTTGCAATGGAATGCTTCAAAACACTGAGATCTCTGGTACACGAGTAAACTACTATATCGTAGCGAATGGAATGTCATCTCAGTGCTGAGATGCAATTTATGCTGACGGAAGTGAATTCGCGTGGTCTGTTTCGGCCGATTGCTCTTTAGCCCAGAGTGGCCAGTGGCAGGGGACTTGGACGTGCGATTTGCGTCGAGAATAAACCCGGATCTAGTAGAGAAGACTGCGAGAGAGTTTTCGTAGGGTCTTATACGCGTGACCCTGTATGGTGTTGCGTGTGTTTGTGTCCCACACACACACACACACACACACGCACACGCACACACACACACACAGAGAGAGAGAGAGAGAGAGAGAGAGAGAGAGAGAGAGAGAGAGAGAGAGAGGAGGAGGAGGAGGAGGAGGAGGATGGGTTTCTCGAGTGTTGAGGGGGAGAATTGCGCAGTGAAGGGTCAGTCGGACAACGGTTTCCCCGGGCCTACGTCTGTGGCAGGAGGATCTGCACACACGCCATCGCCTCCTCGAACGCATCCATCTCCTGTACCTCAGAATCGAAGGCTTATTCAGAACAGCGGAACGATTGACGATTCTCTGTGGGAAGTCATGGAGGCAAACCCGGCCAAAACCGCGGACGCGATGAGAAGCGCTAATGGAGTGCCGTGCACGACATCGGTGGCGCAAGGGATCCCGGTCGCCGCTAATCAGATGCGACCTTTCCACGTGGCACCAGTCGACAATCCCATGGCGGAAGGGATGATGCCACCGAACGCGATCTTCATGAACCCTGCTGGACTCCCCTTAAGGAAAACTTGCTTCGGCGATACGCCCGCTCCCTTCATTTGTCCCCATTGCTCGAAACCTGGGCTCTCCAGGGTCAAGTAAGTACACGTACATTTCGTTCTATGCACTCTAGAACTTTCTAGTGGATTTCATTTCAGTTTTCTATGCTGGAAGCCACAGAAAAGTTACTCTACTTTGTCTCCCTGCGAGTTCATCCTGTTAATCACTGAATCAAAATTAATCGAGCGACGATCGCCTCCCCCTCTCCCAAATCTCGGGACGTACGCAGGCTATTCTATTCTACTGGTAGTCGTGTCTCCCTTTTGTGCGGCTTTCTACCGCGTTCCTTTTTTTGTTTTTTTAGTCCGATGATAATACCTCTACCGCGTTCTGTCTTCTCCGCTTCTTGTCTTCTCCTTAATCCATCGAAGCGATTCTTCTTCTTCCGCTTCTTCTTACTCAGAAGGATGGGGAGGATTGTCGGTGGTGGGCGGCACGGCAGGGTTACGAGGAAAGCCCCTTGAAGATGATCGGAGCGCAATCCCCCTTCAGATCGAAACGCGTCGGGGATTGTGCGCGTGAGCTGAGGTGAGTACGCGCGGCTATGTATTGATGTGCTTTCGAAGCGTGTAAGAAAGGCAGTTGGCCACTGTTTCCACTTAGCCGTTTGGTTGAGTGTTTACCTCTTAACGTGGAGGTCGCGTGTTCGATCATTGGATCGGTGCGGACGGACAGATGGTTGTCTGGAGTGAGAATGCAATTCTTATTCTTCTACTTCTACTTCTTATTTCGTGATTCGTTTCTGATGCTTCTCCTTCTTTTTTCTTCTTCGATGGAATCGTTTCCCTTCTTCATCTCTACTGAGAACTGGGCATGCGGAGATGTAATGCTTATCTGTTGAAGCATGTGCGAGAAACAGGTTATGCCCACTATTTCCCTATGCTGTGGCTCTTCTTGTTCTTTTTATTGTCCTTGGTCTTGGTCGAAACGCGTAGGAACGCGTAGAGCAATGTGCATGCGGATCGTGACGGATTGCTTGCGAAGCATGTACGGAAAGCAACTCTGTCCAGTGCTTGTCACTAGTGTGTTGCTTCTTTCATGGAATCGTTTCTTCTTCTTCTTCGTCCTTCTTCCGTACATGGCGCATGGATTGCTTGCGAAGCATGTACGGAAAGCAACTCTGTCCACGGCTTGTCACTAGTGTGTTGCTTCTCGGAACGTCTGTGGCCATTACGCGGCCTCAGCTCGTTCTTCTCGTCTGTCCTCGCCATTGTCGTGTCATTGAACTCTCTTTCTCTCTCTCTCTCTCTCTCTCTCTCTTTCTCTCTCTCTGTCTCTCTCTCTCTCTCTCTTCGTCTCTTTTTCCCTCTTTTTGTCTCTCGTTCTCTCTCTTCGTCTCTATTTCTCTCTCTTCGTCTCTTTTTCTCTCTTTCCCTTTCTGGTGTACTACCGGTAGGAGTGATTAATATGAGAGTATTTGAGAATATTCGGTTTTCCCTTGAACATAATGTGCCATCTGTGACGATCTTCGATATCTGCCAGTGTTCCATTATACAGCAGACGGTAGATCAAACGTCTCCTGTGTCCTCTTGTCCCTCCACTGTCTTGTCGTGGAACGCAATGTAGATAAATCCACTCCCTCCCCCCCCCCTCTTTTCCCCGCCCGCTTTCCTCTTGGAAGTAGTGAATGCTTCGATGATTTTTTTGTTTTTGTTTTTGTTTTTGGTTGTAATTGTCGGTTCCGTCGTTGAATAGTACCCGTGGTGTTTTCGATGGCAGACAACAGATCGACTGCATCTACCCGCGTTCTATTTCCGGGCCAGACAACAGATCGACTGATGTTTTCATCATTTCGACGCTCTCGTGATGATGATATGAAGATTAGTTTTTGACCGACGGGTGGTTTCGACGCTCTCGTGATGATGATGATGATTAGTTTTTGACCGACGGGTCGTTTGTCTCCGCCTGCAGCGCAACTGCTTGCATTTCGTTCCCGGTTCTCTCTCTCGTTTTCAGACCCGCGCTTTCCCTTTTTTATTAAAAAAAAAAAAAAGAACCTTGGAAGTTCTGGCTCCATATCCATTCTGGGGAGCATGAGTCCGGTTCCTTTTCCTATTTTTGCTAGTAAATAATTCTCATCTTTCCTCTCTGATGTGTCCTGATCCTGATTCGTCCACCGAGACTGCAGAGGCGAAACTCGAGCATCTTTTTAAGCTGTAGCGGGCGACCTCACGGACCTTTTAGCTTAGTGCCAAATTGTAATTAAGCTAATATGGCTGATATGGCCATATAGCTTATTAGTTAATTAGTTAATTAGTTAATTAGTTATTAGTTATTAGTTAGTTAGCGATCGTCTTCTCTTACCAGCGAATAGCCTTCAAACTTGGTTAGTCTCCGCCTTCCCCCCTAATAGAACGTACGGTCATTAGTTAAGTTACGGATCGTCTTTTCTTTTACCAGCGTCCTCTCCCCGAATAGAACGTACGGTCATTAGTTAAGTTACGGATCGTCTTTTCTTTTAACAGTGAATAGCCTTCAAACTTAGTTTGTGTTAATAATCAAATTATCCTTCGGCCTAGCTTTCAAGTTTCCAGTGGTGATCTTATTCCTATTCAACAAAATTGCAAGTCAACCATCAAACAAAATATAAGATAAAACCGAATTTTAAAGTCTCCGCCTTCCCCCCTAATAGAACGTACGGTCATTCGTTAAGTTAACGGATCGTCTTTTCTTTTACCAGCGAATATAGCCTTCAAGCTTGGTTAGTCGCCGTCTTCCCCCGAATCGAACGTAGGGTCATTAAAACCGTAATTCGGTCATATAACCGTCAAATACCGTGCTTTCTATTCGGGCCAAGAGGGTAGCAATTTCTCAGCCCGTGCGGCTTTTCTCTTTTTTAGCTGTAGTGTTATCATCGGATGGGTAAATTTTCGGGAAAAGTTATAAATCCTCCCCGCGGCAAAAGAGTTCTCCTCTTCCTTTTCCCTCTTCCCCCCTCCCCCCCGATAGACTTGAGCCGGATGGGGGAAGATGTCTAACCTTTGCCACGAGCTTTCCTTCTTTTCTTTTTTTTCTTTTTTTTCACCATGGGGGGGCCTGTCGCACCTTTAGCCACGGTCAAGCTCTTTTTTTTAATTATTATTATTATTTTTTTACCACCAGTTTTCAGGGTTAATCGCTCGTCTTTGCACATTTAAGGGTTCCATGTCTATATTGCCGCTTCCTTTGAAAAATGTCGATCCATCGAAAATATTCGTCGTGTCCTTTCTTTTTTTTTGGGGGGGGGGGGGAAGCTATTCCATCCATCGACAACGTACAAAATGAACGAACGGATCAAGCTTGCTCTGCAGTTGATTGTTTTCCCGGGCCAAACAAATGTCTACGTATGCTTCGTCTGTTTCTTGATCGTCTCGTCGTATTCTTGATTTCGGCCGTTCTTTTTTTATTTTTTTTATTTTTTTTTTATTTTTTTTGCCGTTCTATTTACTTCCAGCATAGAGTTGGTAAATATTTATCTATAACGTAAATATTTATTTATCTATCAAGCCGTTCTCCTAATGGTTATCCTTCCATATCGCCATCCATTTATACCTCTCTGCCTAATCAAGCCGTTCAAATCCGAGTAGGGGCAACGGTTCAAATCCGAATAGGGCCCACGGTTTTGCCGAAAGGGGTGTAGAGGCTCCTCGTGAGGTACCGTCTTCACCCGAATATGACGACTGCCATTTGCGCTGCATCTGAACTGAGAGTTGGGCCAAATACGGACTGTTGGGCCAAATGCAGACATGATGACCGTACGTTCTATTCGGGGGAAGACGGGTAGTGCTCCGTTTGTGCAGGGAATGAATGGAACGACGGATGAACTGGAAGATAGATGGATCGCTCATCACTCTAGAGGGATTCATATATATTCTGTTTTTTTTTTTTTTCGTTTTTGTGCTCTGATATTCATGTGACGATATATATATCGTCTTCTCCCTGTCTGCCTACGGTTTACGTGGCAGTTCTGTTTGACGATATATACCACGAGTACGATAGCATCCTGCTACGGTTTTGCTGGCTTGTCTTGTCAGGTTGAGCGTCTGTGGTCGGGACCGTCACCACGTGGCCATGCTGTGCCTCTAGTGCCAGTCTGGCTGTGACAGACCTTTCTTTGTTTCGTTCGTGGGTGTTTTGTGATGGGGGGGTGTGAATCGACATGACTCCGTAGAGTTTTCCATCGAGTGTGGGTGAGTGATAGCCTGCTTTGATTTTCGTCACAGGTACCTTGAGGGCAGTGGTTGGTGGTCCCCACCACCTCAGGGTATCAGTTGTCGGGCAGTCGTTGATGCTTAACCACAGCCGGGGTTAAGGTGGATTATCACTCAGTGTAATCAGTTAGGGGGTTCTGCAGACTGTGCAGCGTTCAGCCTCTACTGATTGATGAGTGGGTGGAACAGTCCGACGAAACAGTATGTCACTGCCCCCCTCGTTTGTTTGTTGTCCTCTTCTCCCTCCCTCTCTGCCCCTACAGTTTACCGGGAAGCTCCTCTGTTTAACGATATTTATATATATCATATACATATATATATCTCTCTTTCCCTGTCAGGTTGGTTTCCTCCTCCTTTTCTTCACCTCTTTGCCTTTTGGCTGCGTGCAAGTGGGTCCTTGTGACACACGGGGATGGGGGCAGCCAGCGCTCAACCTGTCATCCACGTGGCTGGCCTTGTACGTAGGAGGTGATGAACAGGTGGGGCTTTCCTTCCTGACTTTTTTTCTTTCCCTTCCTTGGTTTGCTTTTTTCCGCCTTTGCGCTCCGACTCTTGTCTTGCTTTTTTCCGCCTTTGCGCTCCGATTCACAGTGTGACAATATATATACAGTGTGGCGAGTCGGTGAAACTCCGATGGAACGGTTTGTCACAGCCCCTCGTTTGTTTTTATTGTCCTCTTCTCCCTCCCTCTCTGCCTATACGGTTTACCAGGGAAGTTCTGTTTGACGATATGTATTTATGTGTTAATCTATTCCCCTGTTTAACGATATGAGTCGGTGGAACTCCGACGAAACAGTATTACAGCCCCTCGTTTATTGTCCTCTTGTTCCTCTCTCCCTGCGGTTTAT